GAGGTTTTTGGGACCTACATCATAGCCAAAGTGACAACCATAGACACTCATCGGCCTCGACCGTGAGCTCGAGTTGATGTTCCCTAAAAATGGTCGGCCAAGTTTTGAGCAGCTTTTAGATCCAGTTCGATGGCAAATGAGCCAACAATAAAAACTCATCTCCTTTTGCCATGACCTAGGGGTGATTTTTTTTTAAAAAATGACTTTTAGGTCAACAAAATGCACTTTTTAGTTTTTCGAGACAACACGGGCATGCGAGCTTCCAAGTTCTTGGAATGGCCAGTGTGAACAAGCATGAAACAATCGTAGAGAAACTATAATTCGTTGGTTTGAGGTTTTTGAGACCTACATAATAGCCAAAGTAACAACTACGAGACTCATCGGCCTCGATAGTGAGTCGAGGTTTATTTTCGCCCAAAAATAGTCGACCAAGTTTTGAGCAGCTTTTAGACCCAGTTTGATGGCAAACAAGCCAACGATAAAAACATATCGCCTATGGCCATGACTCGGGCGTATTTTTGCAAAAAAACGACTTTTAGGCCGAGAAAATACAATTTTTTAGTTTTTCGAGAAAATGCGAGTATTCGAGCCTTTGAGTTCCCGGAAGGGTCGATGTGAACAAGCGTGAAACAATCTATAGAGAAATTGTAATTGCTGGTTTGAGGTTTTTGAGACCTACATCATAGCCAAGGTGACAACCACAGAGACTCATCAACCTCGACCGTGAGCCGAGGTTGATGTTCGCCCAAAAATGGCCGATTTAGTTTTGAGCGAGTTTTAGACCCGGTTCGATGGAAAACGAGCCAACGAAAAAAACGCATCGCCTATGGCAATGACTTGGGGGTGATTCTTGCAAAAAAATGACTTTTAGGCCGAGAAAATACATTTTTTTAGTTTTTCGAGACAATACGAGCATGCGAGCTTTCGAGTTCCTATAAGAGCCGATGTGAATGAGCGTGAAACAATCTATAGAGAAACTATAATTCCCGGTTTGAGGTTTTTGGGACCTACATCATAGCCAAAGTGACAACCACGAGACTCATCGGGCTCGACCGTGAGCCGAGGTTGATTTTCGCCCAAAAATGGGCGACCCGAGCTTTCAGAACTTTTAGACCTAATTCGATGGCAAACGAGCCAATGATAAAAACTCATCGCCTTTGGCCATGACTCGGGGGTGATTTTTCGAAAAAATGACTTTTAGGCCGAGAAAATACACTTTTTTTAGTTTTTCGAGACAATGCGGGCATGAGAGCTTTCAAGTTCCCGAAAGGGCTTATGTGAACAAGCGTGAAACAATCTATAGAGAAACCGTAATTATTGGTTTGAGGTTTATGAGACCTACATAGTAGCCAACGTGACAACCACAGAGACTCATCGGCCTCGACAAGTGAGCTAAGGTTGATTTTCGCCCAAAAATAGCCAACCAAGTTTTGAGCAAGTTTTAGACCCGGCTCAATGGCAAACGAGCCAACGATAAAAACTAATTACCTTGGGCCATGACTCGGGGGTGATTTATGCAAAAAAATGACGTTTAAGTCGAGAAAATACGTTTTTTGAGTTTTTCGAGACAATACGGCATTTGAGCTTTCGAGTTCCGTAAAGGGACGGTGTGAACGAGCATGAAATAATCTATGGAGAAATTGTAATTGCTTGTTTAAGGTTTTTAGGACCTACATCATAGCCAAAGTGACAACCACAGAGACTCATCGGCCTCGACCGTGAGCGAAGGTTGATTTTCGCCCAAAAATGGCCGACCAAGTTTTGAGTTGTTTTAGACCCAGCTCGATTGAAAATGAGCCAACAATAAAGACTCATCACCTTTGGCCGGAACTCGGGGTTTTTTTTGCAAAAAAATGACGTTTGGGTCGAGAAAATACGCTTTTCTAGTTTTTCGAGACAATGCGAGCATGCGAGCTTTCGAGTTCCCGGAAAGGCCGATGTGAACGAGCATGAAACAATCTATAAAGAAACCGTAATTGCTGGTTTGTGGTCTTTGATACCTACATCATAGCCAAAGTGACAACCACGAGACATCGGGCTCGACCGTGAGCCGAGGTTGATTTTTGCCCAAAAATGGGCGACCTTGTTTTCGGACGTTTTAGACCCGGCTCGATGGCAAACGAGCGAATGATAAAAACTCATCACCTTTGGCCATGACTCGGGGGTGATTTTTTAAAAAAATGACTTTTAGGCCGAGAAAATAAAACTTTTTAGTTTTTCGAGAAAATGCAGCATTTGAGCTTTTGAGTTCCTAGGAGGGCCGATGTGAACAAGCATGAAACAATCTATAGAGAAACTATAATTGCTCGGTTTAGGGTTTTTGAGACCTACATCATAGCCAAAGTGACAACCAAAGAGATTCATCGGCCTCGAGTATGAGCCGAGGTTGATTTTCTCTCTAAAATGGCCGATCAAGTTTTGAGTAGTTTTAGACCCGGCTCGATGGCAAACGAGCCAATGATAAAAACTCATCGCCTTTTGCCATGACTCGGGGGTGATTCTTGCAAAAAAACGACTTTTAGCCCGAGAAAATACACTTTTTCAGCTTTTCGAGACAATGCGTGCATGCGAGCTTTTGAGTTCCCGGAAGGCTCGATGTGAACAAGCATGAAACAATCTATAGAGAAACTATAATTGCTGGTTTGTGGTTTTTGGGACCTACATCATAGCCAAAGTGACAACCACAGAGACTCATCGGCCTCGACCGTGAGCCGAGGTTAATTTTGCCCAAAAAAACCGATTTAGTTTTGAGCAGCTTTAGACCCGCTTGATGGCAAACAAGCCAACGATAAAAACTAATTGCCTTGGGCCATGACTCGGGGGTGATTTTGGTAAAGAAAACGACGTTTAGGTCGAGAAAATACGCTTTTTCGCTTTTTGAGAAAATACCGCATGTGAGCTTTCGAGTTCCTAGAAGGGCCGGTATGAACGAGCATAAAACAATCTAGAAGGGCCGGTATGAACGAGCATAAAACAATCTTTAGAGAAACTATAATTACTAGTTTGAGGTTTTTGAGACCTACATCACAGCCAAAGTGACAACCACGGAGACTCATCGGCATCGACCGTGAGTCGCGGTTGATTTTCGTCCAAAAATGGCCGACCAATTTTTTAGCATTATTAGACCCGCTTCAATGGAAAACGAGCCAACGATAAAAACTCATCGCCTATGGCCATAACTCGGGGGAGATTCTTGCAAAAAAATGACTTTTAGGCCGAGAAAATACACTTTTTTAGTTTTTCGAGACAATGCGGGCATGCGAGCTTTTGAGTTCCCGGAAGGGATGATGTGAACAAGCATGATACAATCAATAGAGAAACCGTAATAGCTGGTTTGAGGTTTTTGGGATCTACATCATATCCAAAGAGACAACCACAGAGACTCATCGGGATCGACCGTGAGCCGAGGTTGATTTTCGTCCAAAAATGGCCGACTAAGTTTTGAGCAGCTTTAGACCCGGCTCGATGGCAAACGAGCCACCGATGAAAACTCATCGCCTAAGGGCATGACCTAGGGGTATGTTTGCAAAAAAATTCTTTTTGGCCGATAAAATACACTTTTTTAGTTTTTCGAGATAATGCGGGCATGCAAGCTTTCGAGTTCGGGAAGGGATGGTGTGAACAAGCGTGAAACATTCTATAGAGAAACCGTAATTACCGGTTTGAGGTTTTTGAGACCTACATCATAGCCAAAGTGACAACCACAGAGACTCATCGGCATCGACCGTGAGTCGCGGTTGATTTTCGTCCAAAAATGGCCAACCAAGTTTTGAGCAATTTTAGACCCAGCTCAATGGCAAACGAGCCAACGATAAAAACTTATTGCATTTGGCCTTGACTCGGGGGTGATTATTTCAAAAAAATGACATTTAGGCCGAGAAAATACACTTTTTTAGTTTTTTGAGATAATACGGGCATGCGAGTTTTCGAGTTCTTGGAAGGGCCGGTGTGAACAAGCGTGAAACAATCTGTAGAGAAACTATAATTGCTGGTTTGAGGTTTTTGAGACTTATATCATAGCCAAAGTGACAACCACAGAGACTCATCGGCATCGACCGTGAGTCGCGGTTGATTTTCACCCAAAAATAACCGACCAATTTTTGAGCGAGTTTTAGACCCGGCTCGATGGCAAAATGAGTCAACGATAAAAATTCATCGCCTTTGGCCATAGCTCGGGGTGATTTTTGCAAAAAAAATGACTTTTAGACCGAGAAAATACACTTTTTTTGTATTTTGAGAAAATGTAGGTTGCAAGCATTCGAGTTCATGGAAGGGTTGGTGTGAACAAGCATGAAACAATCTATGGAGAAACCGTAATTACTCGGTTTGAGGTTTTTGGGACCAACATCATAGCCAAAGTGACAACCACAGAGACTCATCGGGATCGACCGTGAGCCGAGGTCGATGTTCGCCCAAAAATGGCCGACCAAGTTTTGAGTAGTTTTAGACCCGGTTCGATGGCAAACGAGCCAACGATAAAAACTAATTGCCTAAGGCCATGACCTAGGGGAAATTTTTGAAAAAAAAGACTTTTAGGCCGAGAAAATACACTTTTTTATTTTTTCGAGACAATGCGAGCATGCGAGCTTTCGAGTTCCCGGAACCGCCGGTGTGAACAAGCGTGAAACAATCTGTAAGGAAACCGTAATTGCTGGTTTGAGGTTTTGGAGACCTATATCATAGCGAAAGTGACAACCACAAAGACTCATCGGCATCGATCGTGAGTCGCGGTTGATTTTTGCCCAAAAATAACCGACAAAGTTTAGAGCGAGTTTTAGACCTAGTTTGATGACAAACGAGCCAACGATAAAAACTCATCGCCTTTGGCCATGACTCGGGGATGATTTTTGCAAAAAAATGACTTTTAGGCCGAGAATATACACTTTTTAAGTTTTTCGAGAAAATACGAGCATTCGAACTTTTGAGATCCCGCAAGGGTTGGTGTGAACAAGCATGAAACAATCTATGGAGAAACCGTAATTGCTGATTTGAGGTTTTTGAGACCTACATCATAGCCAAAGTGACAACCACAAAGACTCATCGGCCTCGACCGTGAGTTGAGGTTGATGTTCGCCAAAAAATGGACGACCAAGTTTTGAATAGTTTTAGACCCGGTTCGATGGCAAACGAGCCAATGATAAAAACTCATCGCCTATGGCCATGACTCGGGGTGATTCGTGCAAAAAAATGACTTTTAGGCCGACAAAATACACTTTTTTAGTTTTTTGAGACAATGCAAGCATGCGAACTTTTGACTTCCCGTAAGGGCCGGTGTGAACAAGCATGAAACAATCTATGCAGAAAATGTAATAGCTGGTTTGATGTTTTTGGGACCTACATCAAAGCCAATGTGACAACCATAGAGACTCATCGGCCTCGACCGTGAGCCGAGGTTGATGTTTGCCCAAAAATGCCCGACCAAGTTTTGAGCAATTTTAGACCCAATTTGATGGCAAAAGAGCCAACGATAAAAACTCATTGCCTTTGGCCTTGACCTTGGTGTGATTTTTTTTTAAAAATGACTTTTAAGCCGAGAAAATACACTTTTTTAGTTTTTCGAGACAATGCGGGCATGCGAGCATTCGAGTTCCTGGAAGGGCCGGTGTGAATAAGCGTGAAACAATATATAGAGAAACTATAATAGCTGGTTTGAGGTTTTTGCGACCTACATCATAGCCAATATGACAACCACGAGAGACTCATCGGCCTCGACCGTGAGCTTAGGTTGATATTCGCCCAAAAGTGGCCGATCAAGTTTTGAGCGAGTTTAAGACCCAGTTCGATGGCAAAAGAGCCAACGATAAAAACTCATTTCCTTTGGCCTTGACTCGGGGTGATATTTGCAAAAAAATGACTTTTATGCCGAGAAAATACACTTTTTCGGTTTTTCGAGACAATGCGAGCATGCGAGCATTCGAGTTCCCGGAAGGGTCGGTGTGAACAAGCATGACACAATCTATAGAGAAACTATAATTCCCGATTTGAGGTTTTTGGGACCAACATCATAGCCAAAGTGACAACCATAGAGTCTCATCGGGATCGACTATGAGCCGAGGTTGATTTTCGCCCAAAAATGGCCGACAAAGTTTTGAGAAGTTTTAGACCCAGTTCGATGGCAAATGAGCTAACGATAAAAACTAATCGCCTAAGGCCATGACTCGTGGGTGATTTTTGCAAAAACATGACTTTTAGGCCGAGAAAATACACTTTTTTAGTTTTTCGAGACAATGTGAGCATGCGAGCTTTCGAGTTCTCGGAAGAACCGATGCGAACGAGCGTGAAACAATCTATAAAGAAACTATAATTCCTGATTTGAAGTTTTTGAAACCTACATCATAGCCAAAGTGACAACCACATAGACTCATCGGCCTCGACCGTGGGTCGAGGTTGATTATTGGCCAAAAATGGCCAACCAAGTCTTGAGCGAGCTTTAGACCTAGTTATATGGAAAAAAAGGCAACAATAAAGACTCATCGCCTATGGCCATGACTTGGGGGTGATTCTTGCAAAAAAATGACTTTTAGGCCGAAAAAATACACTTTTTTAGTTTTTTGAGACAATGCGAGCATGCGAGCTTTTGAGTTCCTAGAAGGGATGATGTGAACAAGCATGATATAATCAATAGAGAAACCGTAATAGCTGGTTTGAGGTTTTTGGGATCTACATCATAGCCAAAGAGACAACCACGAGAGATTCATCGGGATCGACCGTGAGTCGAGGTTGATGTTCGCCCAAAAATGGCCGACAAAGTTTTGAGAAGTTTTAGACCCGGTTCGATGGAAAACGAGCCAATGATAAAAGCTAATCGCCTATGGCCATGACTCGGGGGTGATTTTTACAAAAAAATGACCTTTAGGCCGAGAAAATACACTTTTTTAGTTTTTCGAGACAATGCGGGCATGCGAGCATTCGAGTTCCTGGAAGGGTCGGTGTGAACAAGCATGAAATAATCTATAGGGAAACTATAATTCCCGATTTGAGGTTTTTGGGACCTACATCATAGCCAAACCGACAACCATAGAGTCTCATCGAGATCGACTATGAGTCGAGGTTGATTTTTGTCCAAAAATGGCGGACCAAGTTTTGAGCGGCTTGAGACCCGGTTCGATAGAAAACGAGCCAACGATAAAAACGAATCGCCTACGACCATGACTCGGGGGTGATTTTTGCAAAAAAGATGACCTTTAGGCCGAGAAAATAAACTTTTTTAGTTTTTCGAGACAATGCGAGCATGCGAGCTTTCGAGTTCCCGGAAGAACCGATGGAACGGGCATGAAACAATCTATAGAGAAACTATGATTCCCGATTTGAAGTTTTTGAAGCCTACATCATAGCCAAAGTGACAACCACATAGACTCATCGGCCTCGACCGTGGGCTCGAGTTGATTTACGCCCAAAAATGGCCGACCAAGTCTTGAGCGAGTTTTAGACCTAGTTATATAGAAAACAAGCCAACAATAAAGACTCATCGCCTTTGGCCATGACTCGGGGGTGATTTTTGCAAAAAAACTACGTTTAGGTCGACAAAATACGTTTTTTTAGTTTTTCGAGAAAATACGAGAATGCGAGCTTTTGAGTTCCTAGAAGGGATGATGTGAACAAGCATGATACAATCAATAGAGAAACCATAATAAGCTGGTTTGAGGTTTTTGGGATCTACATCATAGCCAAAGAGACAACCACAGAGACTCATCGGGATCGACTATGAGCTGAGGTTGATGTTCGCCCAAAAATGGCCGACAAAGTTTTGAGAAGTTTTAGACCCGAGTTCGATGGAAAACGAGCCAACGATAAAAGCTAATCGCCTATGGCCATGACTCGGGGGTGATTTTTACAAAAAAAATGACCGTTTTTAGTTTTTCGAGACAATGCGAGCATTCGAGTTCCTATAAGGGTCGGTGTGAACAAGCATGAAATAATCTATAGGGAAACTATAATTCCCGATTTGAGGTTTTTGGGACCTACATCATAGCCAAACCGACAACCATAGAGTCTCATCGAGATCGACTATGAGCTAAGGTTGATTTTCCTCCCAAAATGGCGGACCAAGTTTTGAGCGAGTTTGAGACCCGGTTCGATAGAAAACGAGCCAACGATAAAAATGAATCGCCTACGGCCATGACTCGGGGGTGATTTTTGCAAAAAAAATGACCTTTAGGCCGAGAAAATACACTTTTTTAGTTTTTCGAGATAATACGAGTATGCGAGCTTTCGAGTTCCTGGAAGAACCAATGCGAACGGGCGTGAAACAATCTATAGAGGAACTATAATTCCCGATTTGATGTTTTTGAAACCTACATTATAGCCAAAGTGACAACCATATAGACTCATCGGCCTCGACCGTGGGTTGAGGTTGATTTTTGGCCAAAAATGGCCGACCAAGTCTTGAGCGAGTTTTAGACCTAGTTATATGGAAAACAAGCCAACAATAAAGACTCATCGCTTTTGGCCATGGGCTAGGGCTGATTTTTGCAAAAAAACTACGTTTAGGTCGACAAAATACATTTTTTTAGTTTTTCGAAAAAATGCGAGCATGCGAGCTTTCGAGTTCGTGGAAGAGGTCGGTGTGAACAAGCATGAAACAATCTATAGAGAAACCGTAATAGCTGGTTTGAGGTTTTTGGGACCTACATCATAGCCAAAGTGACAACCACAAAAACTCATCGGGATCGAATGTCGACTCGAGGTTAATTTTTGCCCAAAAATGGCCGACCAAGTTTTCGGGAGTTTTAGGGCTAGTTCGATGGCAAACGAGCCAAAGATAAAAAAGCATCCCCTAAGGCCATGACCCGAGGGTGATTTTTGAAAAAAAAATGACTTTTAGGTCGAGAAAATACACTTTTTTAGTTTTTTGAGACAATGCGGGCATGCGAGCATTCGAGTTCCCGGAAGGGTCGGTGTGAACAAGCATGAAATAATCTATAGGGAAACTATAATTCCCGATTTAAGGTTTTTGGGACCTACATCATAGCCAAAGTGACAACCACATAGTCTCATCGGGATCGACTATGAGCCGAGGTTGATTTTCGCGCAAAAATAGCCGACCAAGTTTTGAGGAGTTTTAGACACGAGTTCGATGGAAAACGAGCCAACGATAAAAGATAATTGCCTATGGCCATGACACGGGGGTGATTTTTACAAAAAAATGACCTTTAGGCCGAGAAAATAC